AAGGTACTTAAAATCTATAAATTGTTAAGTTAACCCTTTTATGGGCATTTTACAGCGGTAGAGGTTCTACTTTATAAAGAATTCTCAGTCTTTTGATATAAGTTTTGCATCAATTTCTAAATTCTAAAGCTAGTTGTTTTCTAAGACTAGGATCATGATCCAGCTATATATGTCTCAAATAATAATCTTTGTCCTTCGTTTAGGATTACCTCAATTGTTTACAACTTTATCAAAATTGGTCATGCTGTATCTAATGGTGGTCAACAAGGTTTTCAAACTGGTAAATTTGAAATCTTGCCAACTGAGCAGTAATATTTGAAGTAAAATTTCATTAAATTGCCCAGCTAAATTAGTCTTAATTTATAGTTAATTGAAGCCTTAAAAATCTTTGGGATTATTCAGAAAATTCAATAAGAACTGCATAATATTAATATGATGGGAATTATCAAATTTAAAATGTCTGGTGAACTCAAAATTTTTTTCACAATGTTATGGCTTAATTAGATAATGGTTCATAACAACCTCAATTAATTAGCTCATATATCGATTGGCATTCTTTGTTTAAATTAAGTTTGAGAATATTTTTTGAATGAGTTTTCTTCAACCATTTAAACTCTCATCATTAATTGTACATCCTTAATCAATGTGTACCCTCCTGATATTTACCGATAAACCTCTCCAGATCTATTGAATTTTGAGAGTATTCAGTAATTTCCACTCCTATTGGGGTAGCTTTTATCTAGCTGGCAAATCATATATCCAGCTTGCCCTCGTGTTGTAATTTCTTGTAGCTATTAGAGACAAAATTATAAATGGGGTTGCTCTACTCGTATCAATCAGATAGATAATAATCCCCGATAAGAGAACAATATGTATATTCACCGCCTGTCTACAAAATTGCAGGCTCCAGCGATTAGCATTACTTTCCCTTTATACAATTATATCTAGAGATATTCAAATTTTTATACCACTTATCGGAATTAAACTATAGGCAAACATATACTGCCTAAAATAGTAAATATTTTCAAGAGTTATGATACCATACGTAAGGGTGATAGATGCAGTACTAATTGGTTCAAAAACTAACCACTATATATTAAATCACGAAAGATTTTATCACGCGAGCTATGATAATTCTTTCCTCTAAGAACGATATGAATCCTTACATTATGTGCTAATGGTTACACTTAATTACACTGTATATCCGCTTGTAATCTTCCAGGTTCGTGTAAGTTATGTGCTAGTCGAAAAAATATTACTAATCTCTAACTTCTAGGTAACTAATATCTTTTATAATTAACTTAATTTTCAATTAATTTAGTGATTCTGGGATCAACTTTAATCAATGATTAAATGAAAGGACCTTTATTCATAACTTTTGAGCCATAAAGCCCATTAAAGAATACATTGAGACAGCCAAAAACACAAAATTTTTCATATGTAGTTATATGGTAACCAACCAGAAACATGGAGATATAAGACATCATTCAGTTATTTATCATATAATCCTGGTAGACCTCTCAATATCATATTATCAGTCATGTAAGACTTTTAGATACTTAAGTCAATTTATCAAATATAATCATTATGTTGCTTCTTCTTTTTATGAAATCGACAATGAGATTGCTTCCCTACGTGTTAATTGTAACAATTAGACGAGCAGGTTGATAGTATAACAGCCACACATAAAATATTTACTTCCAAAATCATTGTTTTCTTGTTGGAAAATTCTAATGAGGAGTTTGAAGCTAATAATGTTTGAAATTGAGGCCGTGAACTCATTCTCAGCAATTGTTTTGAACATCCTGATAATCAATATTTATGTTTCAAATATCTTCTTCATTGTTGTTGGATGTTGATAATAAAAACTACCACACAATAAATTTTTTGCAAGTTTTCAAGTCATCTACTGAAAGGATGATGGTTAAAGTTACCATTCAATTTGCACTGGCAATGACTTCTTTTTTCTGTGCACTTCTAAAAATTCTTCCCTTGAATCTTGACAATATTGTTAGATTAGAAAACATTTAGATCACGCACATTTGAATTTTCCACAAATGCATACATTATAAATTACGATGAAAATCTCTATTAGTGAGCTAAATTTTCATTAAATTTGTGATATTACTCTCCTTGAAAAGAATCTTGACACTCAATTTTATTTATTTGATGTTATGTATTGATACTTACTGTTTATCCACTTTTTATTCATACTGATATCTTCATGAG